CTTACTTCGCATTAAAAAGTATATGCGTGGAGACAATATGTTCCGCCCCCCTCCCTGCAGGGGGGCTCCACTATCAAAAAACTAGACACATAGGTTTGCATTGAACCTCGCTTTACGTGAAGAAGCAATATTTTTATCTGCAGTAATGGATAGAAATTTAAAGCTTCATTGCTGTATTTCTTTTGAAATTTCTAGCGGAACTGAACAAGTGTACGATTCTGATGCGTACTAGCAGTAACATAAAAACAACTCTAAATGTAAACAAAAGAAATTCTTAGCGAAAATATACTGACAGTGACGCAAATGTAAACAAAAAAACATAAACATGCAAGTAAGATATAGTGAAAAGATCATAGAAATAAATGCGAAAATTATGATTCTTCAAAATCGCATATCTCTGAAACCAGAAGAGAGCGCCACAAGTAAAGTGTTACTTAGGAATGTGCCCTCTATAATATATGTAAAAATGAAAATGATCCGTGAGGTGTAAGTTAATCTGAACATTTACCTAAATCGCATCGTGGGAAACGGGCTTAACTCAAGAATTGCTTGAGCTACAGTGCTACAATTTGGCGCACAAGTAAAGTAGTACAACACTTTTATTTACTATCATTTTTATAAAAATTCATACAGTGTTTTAGATTTTAAGACAGTTCCAATTTTTTAGAAAATGTCTGTGCAAACTCTAAGTTCTGTAAATTGGGCTAAATTTTTTTAAATGGATAGAATATCATTAAAGGATGATTGATATTGAATTTGGCGAAGATCAGTGAAAGGATTCATTTTTTATGAAATTTTGAATTTTAAATTCTTTTAAATGGAATTTTTAAAAAAATGTTTTGTGATGTTGTAAGTGTGTGTGTTGGGGGGGGGGGGGTTTGCCAACATTGGAAATATGGGAGTATATTAACCCGACATCGACATTTGCCGACATGACCTCTAAATTTTCTGTGACGGTCATATAAAAATAAAAAAAACGTGCAAATTAGAAACTTGCACATTGCTTCTTTATCATTTTATTTCGCTCATAAAGCTTCCTCTGGAGGAAGCCAAAATTGAAAAACCCGCTTGCTCTGAGGAGGAGATTTGTAAGCAAAATAAAATGATGAGGAAGCAATGTGCAAGTTCCTAATTTGCACGTTTTTTCTGACAGATTCTACTATCGGTATTTTCCATATTCGGAGGCTTCGCGGCGTTGTTATTGCTACTAGTGCCAACCGGCAGGATGATGGTGACTTTTCCTGAGAATATAATCATGGAACTCGGTTGTCAAGGTAAAGGTGGTTCGCTATTATATACAATGAGCCAGACTCATCCGTGTGAGACGAAATTAGATTCGGACATCGATATAAAAATAGAAAGTTGCGGGTAAGTTAAAAATTGCAATTAGGCGTCAAATTTATCTAATATTCCATTATGGAAATCTCAGTAATGTTCCAAATTATATTGTTATATAATGTTACAGATAGAGATGTAACGTACTTAAAAAAACAAAAAAGTAAAAATTATTTAACAATTATTTTTTATTTCGTATTAAGCGTAATGTTTTTGTACCTCAATTTCGCCACTGTGTTTTGTTTTATAAATCTTTCTATTATCATCAATGTGTGATTAATCGCGAATTGTAAAATAGCAAAAAATTATCAATAGTTTTAGTTTATAATTTTGGTAAATATGCATATTAGGTTACACCTCACCGATGACTTTGACCTTGACATATGTTGTCAAGGACATGACCCTGAGTAACTTTTCCTTATAACTTGACCGGCGGTCTCTTATAGTTTCTGAGATATTTAAAGTTAACATTTGGATAATAATATAGAGACAGAGAGACAGTCCGCCCCACAATTGTTGCATGGATGAGAAAGTATATGCATGGACGCAGTGGGCTCCACTATAAAAAAACTAGACACATAGGTTTGCGTTGAACCTCGCTTTGCGTGGAAAGTAAAAAAATCCAAAGAGTTTCGTCTCTGGAAATGTAAAGAAACACTATTTCAACGTCTGATCTACGTAAATACAATGTAAACAACCTTTATTTTTCTTTATTTTATAATAGAAAAATCATTAAAATTGTGAAATCATAACTTTAAATATCTCAGAAACTATAAGAGACCGCCGGTTAAGTTATAAGGAAAAGTTACTCAGGGTCAAATTCTTGACAACATATGTCAAGGTCAAAGTCATCGGTGAGGTGTAACCTAATATGCATATTTACCATAATTTTTAACACAGGTAATTTCTTCGAGAAGATAATAGGTTTATAATTCATTATATTATATTTTTAATTCTTAAGAAACATTAAGACATTTTAAAGACGTCTAAAAGATATAGGACGTGACTTCGAGATCTCTTTTAGATATGCGTGTTGTCCGAGTTCAAATCACAACACAAACACAACATAAAAATACAGTATTATTACGAATAGTAATCTTCTACCATCGCAATTAAACCTTTATAATAAAATCTTCCTGTTTGTTTTGCTTTAACTTAACAACTTAATTTTGAGTGAATCAAATGTTGATCTCTTATAAATCTATATTCTCTTGCTAATGACATTTTAATAATAGAAAATTTATTCGAGAGAGTTATTTGCCAAATTGAAATGACATTTTAATTGGTTTCTTTCAAGCCGTCTCTGTCTAAAATTATGTCCTACGAACATTTAAATATTAATATATATTTTTTTTTGCGCAAAACACAGATTCACATGTCATGTGGAAACAGACAACGAAACAGATCAAAATTTGATTCTAAAATCGAGACTTTATACCGTCAGACGTTTTAATTTTCAGACTGGTGAAAATACTTTCTACAAATACATTCCTACGCAGAGTGACTTGTCAACGGTACGTTATGCATTAAACGTATATTAACAGATCGTTTTTTATTGAGTGGAAATATGATACTTAACTTAATATCAAATAAGCGATGAGTAAATTAGATATTGCATGTTGGTCATAATAGAATCACGCGCGTGCAATGTGTATATTATTTAATTTTCTAACTAAACTTTTTTAAGTTATTTTTTTTATATATAGTGTTATTTACTATTTTACTAATAAATAAGAACTAAAAAAGAACTTTATTACACACAATAAGAAAAGTACCAAATTTACGAGTTATTATTATTTACAATTCCATAAGTTTATTACATTAAAAACATTACATTAAGAAAAGTACCAAATATTATAAATTATTATTATCGTTATTTGCAATTGTATAACAATAATAAAAATTTATAGCATTTTTTAAAATTCTCTTATTGTTTTAATTATACAAGCTATTGTATTTGTATACGACAGCCTTTAAAATGTGCATCAATGCATACTAGTGCATCCAACTAAATTTGCTATTAGCGTCTAGATTTAATTTTTTAGATATACTGTTTCGCATAAAATATATGTGGTGAATTTTTACGTTAGTGTATATCCCTTATCAATGATCTTGACATTGACATATAATATCAAGATTATGATCTTGAATGTATTCGTCAAAAGAGCCATCGCGTTAATATGTTTTTAACAAACAATAAGCGACAGATGAAGTCTTTTAAAAATTAATCAAAGTGGTGATTTTCACAATGTCAAAATCAAAGTTACTGCACACAGAAAAATATTGTTCTACTGCTAAGTAAAATTATTACTCAGTTTATTTTACTTCTTTTAAGTAACAGTTATCTTTAACAAAGAATATTTTCTTAATAATAGTCTTAAAATAGAAAAACTACCATTCGACGGACCTCAAAAACTTACTATTTTTTCCCAACTGATCAGCTACTTTCATTTTCATGTATCCCGAAATGCGTTCAAGATTTTGATAACTTTACCGAAACTTTGCATGGAACATGCAAAAATTATACGTTGTGCGCTTTTGATTATTTAAACAAACCAAAGGTATAGGAAAAATTATATAGTAATAATATATATAATAATAATCATAACGTAGTAATATTTATATATATCTAAAAACACATCCAAAGATAGATAATATTATAGGAATTGTCTTTATTTTTGTATTTTACATATTGTAATTTTTTTAAGTTCTTACAAAAACAAATGTTAAGAATTTTGAATATTTAATCCTTTTAAAAAAAACATAAACGTTAAAATCATGCAAAGTAATTTTTTAGAACAATATCAACCAAATGATAAATTATCATTTATACAAATCAGAAATTAAAAGTTTAACATCGGATGAAGAAGATTTACAACAAGAACGGCAAAGATATTTGGGAGAGGAAATATCTTGGACAGGAGATTTTCGAAAAGTTACTTGTGATAATTCAGATTATATAAACGATGAAATCACGATAGATGTGCAGCTTTATGATCACGATGCAAATCTAAAAACAACTAAGCAAATCTTGAGCACGAATAAATGCAACAAGAAATGCATAGTTATTGTACCTCGCAAAGCAATGTGCTCTAACATGAATACAGAAATTGAATATAATGTAAGCTTGACGTTTTGGCTTTATCTCATCATTAGAGTATTCATAGGTTAGTAGAAATTTCAACGTTTTGACTTTTTTAAATAATTGTAATAAAAAGTCTTTAATTATTATAATCACCATAATATTGTAGTTTAAATGTAATTGTAACTGTAAATATAAACTCTATAATATCCGTAAGGAATTAAGATATAATTTCTTTTCTTTCAGGTATTATTGGTGGTACAACGTTTGCTATGTTTGAAGGTGCTGTTATAGCAATATTACGAGAGCAGAAGGCAGACTATGGTCTTCAAAGAATTTATGGTAGTATAGGAGGCATGATTTCCTCACCTTTATCAGGTCTTCTCATAGATTATGCCAGCAGAGATAAAGGATATACTGATTTTAGGTGAGTAAATTGAAGAGGGAGGAGGGAGGGATACATTAATAAAAAGATTTATTCAAAATAATATCATGTTATATTAATTAGGACATATCATATTGTATGTATATCTTAAAATTTACAGAATGCTAATTTTTGTATTTTACATATTGTAATTTTTTTAAGTTCTTACAAAAACAAATGTTAAGAATTTTGAATATTTAATCCTTTTAAAAGAAACATAAACGTTAAAATCATGCAAAGTAATTTTTTAGAACAATATCAACCAAATGATAAATTATCATTTATACAAATCAGAAATTAAAAGTTTAACATCGGATGAAGAAGATTTACAACAAGAACGGCAAAGATATTTGGGAGAGGAAATATCTTGGACAGGAGATTTTCGAAAAGTTACTTGTGATAATTCAGATTATATAAACGATGAAATCACGATAGATGTGCAGCTTTATGATCACGATGCAAATCTAAAAACAACTAAGCAAATCTTGAGCACGAATAAATGCAACAAGAAATGCATAGTTATTGTACCTCGCAAAGCAATGTGCTCTAACATGAATACAGAAATTGAATATAATGTAAGCTTGACGTTTTGGCTTTATCTCATCATTAGAGTATTCATAGGTTAGTAGAAATTTCAACGTTTTGACTTTTTTAAATAATTGTAATAAAAAGTCTTTAATTATTATAATCACCATAATATTGTAGTTTAAATGTAATTGTAACTGTAAATATAAACTCTATAATATCCGTAAGGAATTAAGATATAATTTCTTTTCTTTCAGGTATTATTGGTGGTACAACGTTTGCTATGTTTGAAGGTGCTGTTATAGCAATATTACGAGAGCAGAAGGCAGACTATGGTCTTCAAAGAATTTATGGTAGTATAGGAGGCATGATTTCCTCACCTTTATCAGGTCTTCTCATAGATTATGCCAGCAGAGATAAAGGATATACTGATTTTAGGTGAGTAAATTGATTATAATATACGTAATCGCTATTACAATTGGTAAAAAAGTGATTCTACATGCAGAAAAAATCGGAAAAAAATATTGAGTAAAATTTTCTCACATACTTCGTTTTCGAGATACTCTATATAATATCACTAAGTACATAGCGTTATTCCTTACTAAAAAATGAGTCAAAAAGTTCTGAATAATTTTTTTCTATAACATTTAATAAAGGAGTAATTATTGAGTAAAGTCAGACCTGTTAGCGCTGTCCTTTAGCCGGGCGCGCGGCTCACTGAAGTCTCACTTTACTCAGTAATTACTCCTTTATTAAATGTTATAGAAAAAAATGATTCAAGACTTTTTGACTCACTCTTTGGTCTTTATGGATTCAGAACTTTTCGGTCTTTAAGTGACATCCTGTATAAAAATGGTTTTTATTTGTTATAATTTATAATAAATTTTCTTAAGTCATTAAAACAAAACATTTTATGAATTTTTTAGGCCAGCATTCTATTTATACGCTGCATTGAAACTTGTATCAGGTGTTCTTATGTTGCTGATTAATTTAGAATTTAAAGCACCTGCTACGAATGTTGTACGTGATGTCTTCATTGTTCTGAGAAACATTGAAACTGCTGCACTTTTCCTTGCTTGCTTTGTTCTCGGTAGATTATCAAATTATAATATTTAATATAGTTTGAGTTTCTTTTTTTATTAGAATGTTCGCGACAAATAATTTGAACAAAAGTTGGGATGTAACAATAAGAAATATTTCGATAGGTACCGCTTGGGGATACATTGAGTCATTTCTCTTCTGGTTGATACAAGATTTAGGAGGATCTAGTTCACTTATGGGTATCACCGTGACCGTCGGTGGTATCGCTGGCATACCATTATTGGCGCTTTCGGGACCAATAATATCAAAGATTGGTCACGCAAATGTGCTTTTTATAGGATTTGTGTTTTATGCTGTCAGACTTTGTGGTGAATATTGATAATAATTCAAAATAATTAATAAAATAAACATAGACACATACGTTTAGAAATATAATAAAATGCTTTTCTTGTGTAGGTTATTCGTTAGTTTATGATCCTTGGTTGACTCTAATCTTCGAGGCATTGGAATCAGTTACGTCATCTCTTAGTTTCACTGCAGCCGTTACCTATGCGGCAAAGTTATCGACTATATCTACCGACAGCTCGATACAAGGATTACTTGGCGGTGTTTATTACGGAGTTGGTATGTATATTCATTCAATTGTTAAATTTTTTTTGATAAATAATATAACAAAAACAATTTAATATAATGAAAATTCGGTAAATATTGTGATAATATTACACCTCACCTATCACTTTAAGAGATTTTCACATATATATTATAGATGATAAAATCTTGAATCACGTACACTTTAAATTACGTGCCAGATAAATTAAATAATCGGTGAGATGTAATTTTTTCGCAATATTTACCGAAAATTCTTTATTGATTTATTGATTTCGATATTCATAGGCAAAGGTTCTGGAAGCTTGATCGGTGGTTATCTCATGAAAGCTTTTGGTACTAGACCAACCTACCAAATTTTCGCTGTGATAACTTTGGTGACTGGCATAATATATTTAATATTTAATATCACTTACCTAAAGAAGCGATCTCAGCTTAAAGGCAACGATATTGTACAGAAGAAATCGAAAAATATTGATGCACAAAATAGTTTTGATAAACATGCAAATGATATCAGTCTCGATGAAAAACCACACGATGAACGAATAACGAAGAATAAGAAGATTTTGATGAAAAATAATGGTTTAGATAATGAAGGATTTTTGAAGGACATACAAGATAATAAATTGTCCAACAAAGCAAATGAACATAGTTTGCAGATTGAAGTTTTTAAAAACACTAAAAACTAGTTAATGAAATTGAATAAAATACGATTAAAAAACATGAGAACAATTTAATTTTGTTTTTTTATTTTCGTTTATATAATAGGCCTTCCCGTATATCATGCTAAATAAATAAATAAATAAATAAACAAGTTGATAATAAAAATACGTTAAGTAAAAGCTGAAAATGCAATATGAAAAATAATTATTTTATTAATTCAAAACAAACAGACAAATAACAGACATAAATCAAGCGTATTCCTAGCTTAACGGTGGTTAGAATTAAAAAGTTGGATGCGATAACAACTTAAATAGGTTTATACAGTTTTGTAACAAATAAACTTAAAGAGTTTGAGTTATACAATTTAAAAAAGAGTCAAAAGAGAATAAATTTTAAAATTTAACACTTAAGTATTTTTGTTTATAATATTCACTGCATAGAAAAAAGTCCAAAGATTTAAAAATATATATTTTTATAGAGAAAGAAAAAATAAAAAACTCAATATTAAATACAGTTTATATAAGTATCATTATCTATATATTCATACATCATATACTAAACGGTACAGAATATTTTTTTCCACAAAGTTTTATTATTTGTAGAAATATATTGAGATTATATTCTCTTTTTTGACATCCATCATGAGACAATTAGTTTTTATTTGTAATGTACAAATACGAACATTTTCATAACGGAGCATTACGATTTGTAAATTAAATTAGAGCGATTTTGTCAAGCGTCATTTCTTCTGTTTAGCACGACTGCACTGGCTGGGTATATTTTGTCTGTGCGCGCGCGCGCGTGTGTGTGTGTATGTGTGTGTGTGTGTGTGTGTGTGAGAGAGAGAGAGAGAGAGAGAGAGAGAGAGAGAGAGAGAGAGAAAACAGAGGAAGAGTGTGGAGAGAGAGAGAGAGAGAGAGAGAGAGAGAGAGAGAGAGAGAGAGAGAGAGAGAGAGAGAGAGAGAGAGAGAGAGAGAGAGAGAGAGAGAGAGAGAGAGAGAGAGAGAGAGAGAGTATATATATATATATATATATATAGTCGTAAAATAATGCTTTAATACCGTAAGCATCAACATTGTACAATCTTGCATCTTTTGGCTGAGAATAATGTGCAATGACAAAGATATTATCTACAACACATAAACCGATATAATAACAAAAAGACCAAAATTGTGCAACAACGTTAAACGCACGCAGACAATACATTTGCGACTGGTCAAACAGTAATTATACAGTTTAACAGTTATAAGTCTATATAGAAGGTACTCGCTTCAAGACCACAGTCATTCGTTTTCGACTATCGGCAAGTATGTTACGTATTTTAACTTTGGTTTTCTTCCTGCATCTGTCTTCTGTCACAACGTCATCGGAAGTATTATCATACGCAAGAGTATCGAAGAACGGACAGTTAGCAAGAAGTTCTCACGATTCTTTTTCGTGGATCACTAGGTACGTCGAGATTAATTTTAATACTACTACTGGCAACCAAATACAATTAGATATTTTCTTGGGATATTTTATTTAAAAAAAAATCGATTATCAAGCAATGTTTGTATACCTAGGTTATCAATGAAAAATAATACAAGCGTGGAGAACGAAAATAAAGAGAGAAGTATAAACGATGTCGTTATCACAGTATCGCCTGTTTACGTACCACCCAGGACTCCAAAATTAAAGAAAGGAGAAGCGGTCGATTATTCAATCACTCCAAAGTAAAAACTCAAATATTAATATATGCGAATATAACGGTAGTAAAAATGTATCGATAATTTATTTGTTATTAATAAACTATTATGGTTATGTTTAGATATTCCACGTTGGATAATGACATGATAGTCAAGCTAGACGCTACATCAGGCAAAAAATTGATTCAACATCGATTTCATCCACCTGTAAATTTCGAGCATAACATCGCGTATGCAAACGGAAAACCGCAAAAAGGATCATCAAATACAGAAAGCTCCTTAATCGTAAATTCATCTACTTTCCTTGGTCCAATCTTCTCTGGTATGTACGAATACAGTCCATCAGAATTTCTCGATGATGAATCACTGATACCTAAACCAATTAGCAAATATCCATCTACGGATGATAAAAAGGTATGTAAATATAAATATTTTATATCAATATTTATCATTATATTAGTTCTTAATAGATAAATCAATAAGTTTGTGTATTTTTCTTATTGTTTATTTCTCTACTACAATAAATTCTTCTTAATATGACGGGACCAAATAATCTCTCATTTTTCAAGAACGATTTTGGTTTTTTTTCTTGGTTTTCACTTTTATTCTAATAACGACATGTATTACATACATAATAAAATAAGAAACAGAGCAGAAAAAAGACATTGAAAGTTATATAAAAATTGAGAATATAAATATTAAAAATAAATATGTTAAAAATACAAAGTGCATATATTCTGCAGTGTATATAATCAAATACGTTTCTTGTAATATATTTATCAGATGTCTAATTTGAGTTTCATCAAATAGGTTCTGGATTCCTATAAATCACCGAATAAATATCACACCGGGCATGAAACAGACTATCTTAGTTACGACATTCCTCCTTCGTATGAAAATGACGAACTTGGATCAAAGCCCGCGAAATTTGTCAACTATTATGATCATTCGCCCTCATTCATGGAGACGGAGCAAGATCCATATGAACACGATTTTCATCACGACATAATATACGATAACGTACCTGAATATCATCATCACGAAACCACTACGGAGGAACCGGAAATGAATGATGAGCGACTCGACAAAAGACCATACTCGTATTACTTTATAGGAAAAAAGCTTTGGTATATACCTCTATACTTTAGCATTTATTTTATCATATACATAGCCGCCCTTGTATTGAAAAGCATCGCCAGGCATAAGATCAACTTTCCGGCTAATCTAGCAGAAGCTGCAACTCATAAAAGAAGCGATTCGAGCGAAGGATGGTGGTCTTTTACTGAAAAAATACTTGAAGGAGTGGAACGATTTGCTGAAACATAAAAACTTGAAAGATTGATAATATTATTTCAACGATAAATTATCAGTGAGGAAGTCTCGAAAAAGAACCAATGCATGTGTAAATAATTGTTGTTTTCTTTTTCTATTAAAAAAAAATTGCATTTGCAATTTCCAATAAACAAATAATTGATAGAAATTAGTTTATTAAACGTAAAACGTATCGTCAAGATGATGTTTATCATTGATAAATATATTATAATTTTGCTTATAAAATATAT